CTATCTCTCTGTGTGTCCGTTGTGAATTAATTTATCGTTACCACTTATATATCCGGTGAAAATCTAACGTTTCTCAATCGTAAAGTCGAACTAGGATATTCTTGTCTCTTTCTATATATATATATATATTTGTAGAAATAGGAAGAGCACGGTGTCGAACACTAGCTAGATACCTTTGTATCGCGAAGGAAACTTTCAGTTTGAATTTCTCTGTCTTTGTCTTTCTCTTTCTCTCTCACTCTCTCTTTCTCTTTCTCTCTCACTCTCTCTTTCTCTTTCTCTTTCTCTTTGTCTTTGTCTACTTGCTTGGCACAGAAGATTTCGAAATACTCTATCTTGTTCAATGTAAAATGTTACCAGCAAACGATGCTTCTTACTCGACACAAGAGATTTCAAAACGCTCGATCTTGTTCAATGTAAAATGTTACCGAGCAAACGATGCTTAATCGCGACGTCTTTTCCTTGTAATCTTCCCATCTGACGCTGGGATGTAGCAATGAGGAGAAAGAGAAAAAATAAAGATTGAAAAAAGTAAAAAAAAAAAAAAAGAAATTACAGATGGAGAAAGGGAGAAAAAAAGAGAAAGAGAGAAAGAGTTGAATGGCAAGTTGAATGGTCGAAGAAACAAGCCAAAATTCAGTGTACCTTTCTTCTTGATAATCCAATCTTTCTTCCTCTATCTCTATCTATCTATCTAACTTCTTGTTCTCTTTTTCTTTCTCTCTTTCTTACTTTCTTTAAAGAAGATTCTCCATTTTTGCAAGCACGTTTATACCAGGCTAGCTCAGCATACCGACTATTCTACGCGCCAAATGGCGAGCTTTCTGGCGAGAGCATTCGGAATGTTCATGGAATCTCGGATTTCTGGTAGAGAAAGATAGAGAAATGTATATATATAGAGAGAGTAGGGAAATGGTAAAGATCAGGAGGGAATGGTGGTAAAGTTGAAGGTAAGAGAGAGAGAAATGGAGAAACATTTTCCATGCTTGCACAACACGCAACGAAAAGGAAGATGATAGAACGAATGTTAACAGACAAGTACAGCCAGAGGCACCTTTACCGTTTACCAAACGCATACTGATTGTTTAAATGTAAACGAACGCCTTTACCATTGAATTTTATCGAAAAGGAGGAGGAAGACTGTGGTGGGTAGCTTTACGATATCGCTTTTAAGAAATTTCCCTAGCTCCTTCCATACGAAAATGTCTTCTGGTCTAACATAACGGTTGAATTTCATGACAGCTTGATATTCCACCGATTGTTATACAAATTCCAGGAGAGAATACGAATTTCTACCGTTTCCTCGGACTTACCGAGCGAATAGAAGCTTAGTTCGATGTTTGACATTTAGAAAATACCTACAGCGATTTCCTGAATATCTCGTTTGCGGTCTCTCTTTTGTTTTCCATCGACCTATGAGTAAATTCACTAACAAGAAATAGATACAACGTTGTATATAGATCCAAATAATTACAATATATACCTTATAATTACTTCACTACTAACGTTGAGAAACTTCGAAAAAATCTTTTAGTTTTAAATAATGATAAAAATCACATACACGAAACACGTTACCCATTTTTATTTGGTCGATAAAACGTAACAGAGCTAGCTAGAAAATATCCAAAAAAAAGAAAGCATATAGAATTCGTGAATAAGAAATTCTAAGTTTCTTCGACTTGATCTCGGTATAGGATCGATCGTGGTTGTACTCGGTGGTGGCCAGGTCGTAACATTAAAATTTAAAATTCTCGACGGACGAACGAACCCTCCAAGCGAAGCGGCAAGGTGCGGTGCGGTACGGTACGGTACGGTACGATACGGTGCAGTGCGGTGCAGAACCGGTAACAGCAATGATGATGCTAGTGGCGTCTACTGTTCCCCGTCAGAAACAGAAACTCGATCCTTCCCGCGAGCTACTACTCTTAACAACAACCCTCATCTTCTTCGTCGTCGTCGAACCTACGAGCCTACTTTTCACCCTTGCCATTTTATCTTTTTCTTTTATTTTTCAGGCTGTAAATTTCCAGAGGAGTGGAACGGACGGTGGTTTCAATCGGGCGATCCGAATCTCGTAACCGTCAACGGATCTATCATATCCAGCAAAGGTTATTGCACTGATGTCAAGGACGACGACAAGTTCCTCTTATACGACACGTGAGTCTTTTTCCCCGTTTATTCATATTACAAGTAGTCAATGTATCAATACGGAAGTGTGTGTGGGTGTGTGTGTTGTGGGTACGTTTTTGGTTTGTTTGTATAAATAATACGTGTACATTTTTGTACGCGTCGAATATACCGCTCTTTACCTTTTATCCTTCTTCAATTCAACGTCCATATTGGTTTCTCTTCTTTCTCTTTCTTTCTGTCTGTCTATCCGTCTGTCTATCTTTCTGTCTCTCTTCATACCGTCTCTTTTTTCTTCCCTCGTATCTCCCCCTTTCAAGCCTCACGGCCAAAACTCCCGTTCCTTCAAGCTTTTATTAATTAACTGCCTTCCGACAAAGCGCTTGAGGCGACGTGCTAACGAGAGAGAAAGAGAGAGAACGAGAGAAAAAGTGGGGGGCGGGGTGGGAGCCAGGAATAAAACGTTTCTCGTGAAATTCCACTCGTCCGAGCCAAATAGAAAGGGAAGATGAGGAAGGGTGAAAGAGAGAGAGAAAGAGAGAAAGAACGAAAGGATTGGAGCCGTGACGCTTTGAGATCCAAGGACGAAAGAGTTCTCTTTGTTTTCTAATACGTCAGTCTTTTTCTCTCTCTTTCTTTCTTTCTTTCTCTCTCTCTCTCTCTCTCTCTCTCTCTCTCTCTCTCTTGATAAAACGAGTTCACGTTTATGGATTATATTTGAGTATTTTTCTAGATTTTTCAGAGATACGTTAATTTCTCATAATTCTTCGTTGATATACTTTCTCATCAAGTATGAAAAACGCAAACATTCATTTTTCCATTTTTTTTCTATTTGATATTGTTGAAAGTACTAGTTATATGGTTCGACGTATAACTAACTTACTTCGACGAAAAATTAAAAAAAATAAAAAAGGAAAAGAAAGAAATGAAAGAATGAAAAAAGAAAATGACGTAGAATAATTTCGTTGAGTGTATAAGCAAATTGAAAAAAAGATTTTTAAAAATTGTGTAAATCGCGACGACGAATGTCGGGAAAGGTTAATAGCGGGCAAACCGTTTGAATTTGATCGAGTTAGAAACGGCGACGAAAATAAAGAGAGGACAAGGTGAGAGATTCAACGAGTAAACGAAGAGAAAGAGAGAAAGAGAGAACAGGAAAGCTTATTCATCGACTCGTGACGAATGCATGTACGTATACATGTACCAGATACGACTCAGTTTTTATTGAAGGAGTGAATGAAAAAAACCATTGCATGTTTTTCTACCTGCGCAAATTTGTTTGTCAATTGGGATGCCTTTTTTTCTGCACAACGATCGTTGATAAACTACGTATGCATATATATATGTGTACGCGTAACCCGGGGTATGAACACACACTTGCAATTCTTCGAGTGTGTTATTTTCTTTTGTCCCCAACTCTCATCTTTTGTTCATTTACGCGTGATCTTTTTCTTCCCCCTTATGTTTTATAATCGATCATCCCTTATGGATCCTGTTATATATCACGTATTTTATTACTTTCTTTTTTTAATTTTTCGTTTCCACGGCTATACAAAAAAAAAGTAGAAACCAAATAACAAAAAGAAAATAAAATAAAATAAAAAACTTTCGATCGAACGATACACTCTCGTTTCGTTGCTTTTTCTTTTCCTCTTTATTTTTCTTTTTTTTCTTTTTTTTTCTTTTTTTAGATCGCAAAAATGATAAAAAAATATATGAAAGATAAAATTATTTCTGTCTAACACTTTTCCAAGTCTCCCTCACCCCTTCCCTCCACCTTCGTCTCTAGAACGAAATTATTCGCTACGAGAAAGTATTACAAATCGGATTTTGCGCAGCAGCTTTGTGTTTTGCGCGGCACATGGCACATAGTACAAAAACCAATTAATTTTGTTTGATCGGAGCTCTTCCAATTTTATCGCGCACTTTTCTCTACATCGTTCTTTCAACTCCATCATCGGCCTCACGTTCATCCTCGATTTCTAACGAAAGTAAAATGAACGTTCTTCCGTTCGTTTATTTTTCTCTTACTCATTCTATCTCTCTCTCTCTTTTTTTCCCTCTTCATTTTTTTACGTTCCCATCCAAAATCACGGGACACATTTTTGTCGTATCACCCAACGAGTAGTTATCGCTTCGCACGAAATCGATTAACTTCCCGCACGAAAATTCTCTCGTTGAATTTCTTTTGCAAACATACGTTGAAAGAGAGGGGGAAGAGCGAGAGAGTATGTGTGAAAGATGCAGATAAATGTAACCACCGAGTTTACTTAAATTCGTACAGAATCGTTGAAATTGGAAAAGAAATTTTCTAATCAAATCTATCACGTCTTCGCAGGAATCATCGTACAATCTATCTCGAGTTTTGCACCATACGCTTGCTTCCTTTCATCGTGTAGAAAAAAAAAAGATTTGAAACGAAAATACAACGAAAATGTAAATAATTACAGTAGATCGATTTATTTGTAAATTCACAAACGTAACTTTCAATAAAATTTCTTTACTAGGAGTTATATAAAAAGATCATCGCGTCTTTTAACATATTTTTTATATTATGATTGATTACTCATTATTCATCAATTAAATTTTATAATTATCAAAAACTAATTGTAAGGGAAAGAAAAAAGAATTTGAAAATTATTTTATTAATTCTTCCTAAAAAAAAAGCAAATAGATCGTGTTACATATTTTCTCTTAAACGAGAAATATTAAAATATTAAAATTAAAAGTAAATGATAGGGGAAACGTTATTTAAATTCGTTGAAGCAACAAGCAGTCACTGCAATTATCGTTCGCCATTATCGAATATTTCTCCGTATAACTCTCCAAACTCTAGATACCATTAGAGTGAATTTTCATATTTTACAGTTAACACGTTGACTGCCACGCGTGTTTACAACAAAATCCCCGTCAGGCCACCCGTGCCACTGTAAGATGCGTGCTCTGCTACCGCATGTCTGTTTACATTTCTTTCGAAATGAAAAAAATGAATGAATAATGAAATGAATAATGAAAAAAATGAATAATGAAAAAAAAAGAAACCCCGATATCTATTACGATCCTCATTTATCACGTTATTACTCTGCACGAGCAGTTGTAATCTTTGCCGTKTACTGAGTAGTACAACTAATATCTCTGCCCATAATTTTTCAATAGTGAAGAGAAAGATGAAAAAGTCAGTGTGCAGTGATTCATATYGCAGTGAAAGGAAGACTAGTCACGCTAGTTGCTCAAATTCGGATAGCAGCGATGAGGAAGTGATCAGATTGCCCAAAAGAAGAAAAGTAAATCGTATCATATCATCAGATTCTGATACGGATACGGATAAATGCAATCTTAGTGATAATGAATATTATGAAGATACTATTGACGAGATGTTACGAGATTTGGTCGTGGAAGAAGAAAGCAACGTTGATGATACTGAGGAAGCTCCAGTTCAACAAAGTGAATGGAGTGAATTTAGTGGTCGGCAAAAATCAATTTCTTTTCAAGAAACAGGCGGTCTGAATAAGCAATTACCTGACGATATAAATCCGTATGATGTGTTTACGTTGTTCGTCGATGACGAAATCATAAACTTGCTGGTATTAGAAACTAATAGATATGCACAACAAAAACTAAATGAATCGAGGCTGACTCCAGGTTCACGAATGCATAAATGGAAACCAACAAATCCTGAAGAAATAAAACAATTTTTGGGATTATTGTTGTGGATGGGACTTGTAAAAGTGAGCCCAATAGCCAATTATTGGGCCAAAAACGAATTGTACAATTTCCGGCTACCGCGTCAAATTATGTCACGAAACAGATTTGAACTATTATTGTGCAATTTTCATTTTGTCGATAATATGTCCATTGCCCGTGATGATCGGCTTGGTAAAATACTTCCATTTTTTAACAA